ATTTTATTTATTTATTTCAGAGAGAGAGAGCACGAGTGAGGGACAGGGGCAGAGGGAGAGGGAGAAGCAGACTCCACACTAAGCAGGGAGCCCAACCCAGCGCTCAATTCCAGGGCTCTGGGATCAGACATTTAACTGACTAAGCCATCCAGGTTCTTTAACTTAACTAGTTTCATCTCTAAAATACATGTCAAAGATCATCACATGTCACCATTCTTATTAATATTTTTCCATTCTGAGCCATCATCATCTCTTGGCAGTAGTTCTTCCAGATTAGTCTTCCACCTTCCCTGTAAGTCTTGCCAGTTTTGAGTCTCCATTTTTAACTACAGTGATCAGATGCCTTCACTCCCCTATTTAGAAACTCTGTCATGAAGGGTTTTTCAATAGCAGTGAGAGCCACAGTTTCAAACCCCAGGTCTGTCCCAACTACACCCATGGAGGCTCTGGCTCATCCAGCCATTTTCAGACTCGGATGACACATTACATCACAGGGCATGGGAACTGCCTTCTCTCACACCTCCCCAAATGTTCTACCAACCCCTGCCCAAGTTGTGTTAATGCCCCAAGTGCTAACCTTTGCTAGTAAGAGAGAGGAGATGGGACTGTTCCAAGAGGTGGTAGTTTCACGTGGCATAGAAGATCTATCACGTGACCAGACAACTAGCTCAGTTTTCCGGCAAGGTCAAGACCTGTTCCGTAATGCCTTTCCTCCCTTGTCTCACCTCTTCTCTTTATTTCTTCATTCTTGCTGCTGTGGTTTGTACCATTCAATAAAACCTTAGCACCCAGATAATACTTCCAGTTTTGTTTTCTAAGGAACAAGACCAAAAGCCTACAAGGTACGTAGGTGTATTTATACCTTCTCTGTATTCCTGTAACACCAAAAACATTCCCCATAATATCACAGATTCTGGAGTCATACAGATAATAGCTGTATGTCCTTAGACAAAGTTGTTTTGCCTCTCTGAGTCTTGTCTTCCTTATCCGGAAACGGGGATTATAATAATAGAATCTATTTTACAAGTCTGTTCTAAGCATTAACTGAGATTTTCAAAATAAATGATGTCAGGCACACAGAAAATCTTCAACAAGATAGCCATTATGATGACTGTGTCTTATTTATCCATGTATTTCTCAGTGTTTACTGTAGCATCTGCAACACAATAGGTGTTCCTAATGCCTAATATGTTTACAAAAATACCTTACCCCTATATTTTAAAAATGCCCAAGAGGTGGCAGAGATCGAAAAACTTCTACGGGCTCAATAAACAAGATTGAGGAATGTGTAAAAACAAATAAAATTATATATGGATGCTTATTGGAAAAATGTTCCTTTACTACAAAATTAAGTTAATTTCACTTGTGTGTGTGTGTGTTTTTTTTCCTCACCAACATGGAAAAACAGGAAAGTCAGAAGAACAGATGTAGCGACCTTTAGGCCCAAGATCCATTCCTGAGAAGATGTACACAAATTAGGTTGCTGTAATTTCAACCATATTTCACATGTGTTCAGAAAAAAATCATTCTCTAAATGACCTTAACAGAGAATCCTGTGATAAGCTGCTTTAAACTGTTGTAAATGTTAATTGTTTTAAAATAAAGCCCTCTTCGCGTTCATGGACTATGTTGATTTATAATTCGGCCTATCTTAGATTAAGTTTTTATAAGGAAAAAAACACAACAATCAATATACTAAAGACACAGGATTGGTCATTATGATGTTTATTTCCTCTAGTACAGCAAACTGAAAAAACCCAAAAAGATTCTTTAAACCAGGGTTAATAGGGAAGAGTCCCGAAAATAAAACTACACATGAGCACTTACATGTACTTACGCAGTCTTCTGTGGATATATGTGTGTATCTGAGTACTACACATACAAAGAACCCACATTAAAAGAAAGGCAGAAAATATATCAGAATGCTATACCTATAAGGTAGTTAAACAGGGGACTTTCTCTTTTCTTCTTTTTTTTTTTTTTTAAAGATTTTATTTATTTATTTGACAGAGAGAGAGAGAGAGAGAGAGAGAGAGGGAAGCAGGCTCCCTGCTGAGCAGAGAGCCCGATGCAGGACTCGATTCCAGGACCCCGAGATTATGACCTGAGCCGAAGGCAGAGGCTTAACCCACTGAGCCACCCAGGCGCCCCTCTCTTTTCTTCTTATGCTTTTCTTTATTTTCAAAATTTCTGCAGTAAACGTGTTACTGTCTTAAAAGGTCTCAAAAAAAATTTTTTTTGAAAAAAAAACCAGCCACTCATTTTTGATACTTTCAGTTTTGCTAAAATGTTGGAAAAGTCACCAGGTTTCATTCTCTGAAAGCATTTCTTTGTTCATCTGGAATTCATGGCTTAACAAAAACAATATTGATATTTCTGGCAATCAGTTTTATGATCTCTAGTTTTCCGGATGGTCAAGCCACATTCCTACCTCTATGACTCTACTTAAGGTACACAGGTACTGCTCTGCTTCCTGTAAATGCAGAGGGTAAACACTGTGTCCTTGGGAGTAGTTAGGCAATGCTCCTAGACAGGATTTTAGACATTCATCTTTCTTACAGGAAGATGCCCAATTTTCCAGGCAGAAGTTGGCAACCTTAAGGATTCCTCTTTACATTGGGAATCTGTGCCTTTAGCTAGACTACCACATGCTGACCTTCAGTTAGAGGCTTATCACAGAGTTATAAAATGGTTTGTGTTGATCACTGACTGGAAGCCCTGCCTTTCTAGCAAATTCTCCATTCTGCAGGTAATGTATTAAGGTCTAGCTTCTTTCCTCCTCTCCCTTTGCCAGTCTTTTTTTTTTAAAGACCCATGTCAAGCACTCACAAGCCACAAGTTAGTCTCCTTTATTCTGGAAGGAAAACAGTAAATTCATGGTGGTTCTCCCAAGAATCAGGAAAGATGACCGTCTTAAATCCAACAACTACTATCCTGAGTATTATCTACTATCTTTAGAGTTCTCGGTCTAAAACTTTCTGGACAGTGATCATATCGCAAAAAAAAAGAAGAAAAAAGGTAACTGAATATTTAACCTCCTCCATTTTAATACTTAGGGTTTTTTCCCTTTGTTTTTTAACCTCTGTTTTTTTATTTTTTTAAGATTTTATTTATTTATTTGAGAGAGAGAGCGAGTGAGAGAGAACACAAGACAGGGTTGGGGGGCAGGAGGTGGGAGGAGGCAGAGGAAGAAGCAGGCTCCCGACTGTGCAGGGAGCCCAACTCAGGACTCAGTCTCAGGACCCTGGGATCATGATCTGAGTCGAAGATGCTAAACTAACTGAGCCACCCAGTTTTTGTTGCTATTGTTGTTTTTTACCTTTTGATAGAGTGTATTTATAGCACTTACTCAACACTCTGATACCCAGAGTCCACAGCATCCAAAAGAAAGATTAAGAGTTGTTCTGCTTCGGGGCGCCTGGGTGGCTCAGTGGGTTGAGCCGCTGCCTTCGGCTCAGGTCATGATCTCCGGGTCCTGGGATCGAGCTCCGCGTCGGGCTCTCTGCTCAGCAGGGAGCCTGCTTCCTCCTCTCTCTCTACCTGCCTCTCTGCCTGCTTGTGATCTCTCTCTGTCAAATAAATAAAATCTTAAAAAAAAAAAAAAAAAAAAAGAGTTGTTCTGTTTCTAGCTCAACATCATTGACCAGCAGGGAAATGCAAATCAAAACCAGAATGAGATACTACTTCATACCCACTAGGATGGCTATTATCAAAAAACAAAGAAACGGAAGAGAAACTAACAAGTGTTGGCAAAGATGTTAGGAGAATGGAGCTCTTGGGCATTGCTGATGGAAGAATCAAATGACATGGCTACTACAGAATACAGTTTGGCGGTTTCTCAAAAAGTTAAACATAGAATTACCATATGATAGACACAACAGAATTGAAATCAGAAACTCAGTAATTGTATAACAATGTTCATTACAGCATTATTCACAGTAGCCAAAAAGAAACAACTTAAATGCCTATCAGTAGATGACTGGGTAAACAGAATGTTAAATATATGCACAATGGAATATCACTCAGCCTTAAAAAGGAATGAAACTATGACACATACTATCTTGAAACCACTATGTTAAGTGAAATAATCCAGATACAAAAGGCCTAACATTCGATGATTTCACTTATGAGGTGCCTACAGTAGGTAAATTCATAGAATCTGGGAAACCGAACAGGTTACTAGGGGCAGCGGGAAGAGAGAGAGGAGGAGACACTGTTCAACAGACATAGAGCTCCTGTTTAGGATGATGAAAAAGCTCTGAACACGGATAGCAGGGATGACTGCACAACACTGCAAGTGTACTTCATGCCCCTGAACTACACATTTTCAAATGGTTAAAATGGTAAATTTTAAAAAAGAAATAAATGATAATTTATACAAAAATAATAACAATGTAGTATGGGTTTATAATACACATAAAAATGTATTTTATATACATAAAAATATATATACAAATATATGTACTTTATATATATGTGTGTGTGTGTATATATATATATATATATATATATATATAAAATGTGTAATAAAAGCACAAAGATTGGGGCACCTGGGTGACTCAGTCATTAAGAATCTGCCTTTGGCTCAGGTCATGATCCCAGGGTTCTGGGATCAAGTCCCATATCAGGCTCCCAGCTCAGGCAGGAGTCTGCTTCTCCCTCTACACTTCCCTCTAACCTTACCCCTTGTGATATCTGTCTCAGATAAATAAATAAAATCTTTAAAAAAAAAAAAAAGAGCACAAAGATCGGGAGGAGAGAAATAGAAGTATACATTATTAGGTTCTTACAAAATCTTCTACTTCAACAGAAGTGATATAATACCACTTGAGGGATGACTGTGATGCTTAAGATAGATGCTAAAACCTCTAAAGCAATCACTTCAATAAGAAAACAAAGAGTTATGGCTAAAAAGCCAACAAAAAAGATAAATAATAGTTTATTAAAACCTACTCGGAAATATAATTAAGTCAATGAAAATAAATGGCAAAAGCACTTACCGCCCAGACTGGTGATGTAAAGCCTAGAATTGCAGCCTTAGCTCCGTCAGCAACATACGGAATAATATTTTCTCCCAGACGTGTATCTCTGAACAAGGCTCTAAGGATATTTAAAGCATGAACCTAGAATAAAAATCTGAAAATTAGTTGTGGGTCAAAGACCATGGTACTAAATCTGTACAGATCAAATAGTTAAACTAAAAAAAAAAATTATTTAATTACAGTAAGAAATAGATAATCCACAAATGAAAGAGCAGATTTTAATAAAACAACTAGTATCTGAGTCAATTTTTCTAAAGTACGATTTGAACGATGCAATAAAAAAAGCTTGATCCAATGGACATACACAGAATCCCGAACCTACCAAGTAAAAACAAAATGCTCTTTTCGAGTACACACGGAACATTTATTCTTTAAAAATGACTTCAAACCTAGCCACAAATAAAAATCTCAACAAATACCAAACAATTAAAATCTTAGAGATTATACTCTGATTACAGTGGAATTAAGTTAGAAACTGATTTCTTTAAATATATTTAAAACTGAGACTTTTTTAAAACACTAGTCAAAAAAAAAACGCTTTTTTTAACATTTAGAGCTGAATAACAATGAAAATACTACATATCAACATTTGGGAGATGCACTGTAAGTAGAACTTAAAACAAATGCATGCCTTACATGCTTCTATTAAAAAAAAAAGACTAAAAATGAGTATGCTAAGTGTCCTATAAAGATGATAAAGAACAATAAATTCAAAACAGAGAAAGAAAATTTAAAAGAGCAGAAAATTTGAAAAAAGCAACCCAAAGCTGATACTTTGAAATAGAAACAAACTTCTGACTAACCAAGAAGAGAGAGAAGAAAATAAGCAGTATCGTGAGAATACCAAGGATGACATGACTACAGATAAACGAGAGAATAAAGTAAAAGTAAGAATACTGCTATGAATAACACTACCCTAATCAATTTGGAAAATTAAGTAAAAATGAACACTTTTCCAGGAAACAGAATTTATCAAAACAAATTCAAGGAGAAATTAAAAAGTTAGATAGATGTTAGCACTACATAAAGGAAATCAATAGATAAAAATCCTACCCAGAGACCAAAAACAAACAAACAAAAAACCCCTAACCTAATAACTACAACAATTACCAAAAAATTAACCCACATGATTTTATGTATGAATTCTATCAAATACTCAAAGAATAGATAATCCCAATTTACATAAACTATTTAGAGAAGAAAAGACTGCTGAATTTATTTTGTCAGTCTAGCATAGCCTGGCTATAAATACAAAGTAAGATAACTATTTTGGGAAAATGGTAATACCTACCAAAGCTTAATATACAACACCTAATAATCACTCCTAGGTATCTACTAAACAGAAATGTACATATATATTCACCATTGGGCATGTATGAGAACATTTGTAATAGTATTATTCTTAATAACCCGAATTTAAAAACTACCCAAATGTTCATCAACAGAAGAATGAAGAAGTTATATAATATTATAAAACAATGAAAATGAATAAATCACAATTTGGATGGATACTATAAACATACCATTGGTCAAAAGAAACCATATCAAAAGAGTGTATAGTGTATGATTTCATTTATTTAAAATGAAAAAAAAAAAAAAACAGGTAAAACTAAAACTAAAGTGTTAAAGTTAGGCTAGTGGTCACCCTTGGGGAAAAGGTACTGATGAGAAGGGAGCATGAGGAGGTTTTCAGGTGCTAAAATTTAGTTCTGTCTCTTGCTACACACAAATGTGTTCACCTCGTGAACTCTACTGTGGTGTACACATGATATACACATGTCTTTGTAGTGTTATAATTCAATAAAAATTTTACATAAAAAATAAGGACAGGTACAGAATGAAAAAAGAAAACCACAGGTCAGTCTCACTTATGAATCCAGTGAAAATATGCAAAAATATTTTTTAAAAACTTTTAAGTGACTGTATAAAAAATGTATAATGTATAAAATGTATAAAAAATATGTCAAAGTTGTGGGTTTGGCCTGTAGGCAAAGATGGTATTGTATGAAAAAAATCAGTATCTTCATATTTGCAAATTCTAAAAAGAACCATTTATCTCAAAAGACACTTGAAAACGTTCAATAAAATTTGATTTCCTCAATAGGATACAAGATAGATTTAAACCTATAGCAAATATTAGAAACAACACAAGGCCACCTGCTATCTCCATTTCTATACAAACCATACTACAGGGTCCAGCCAGAAGAATAAGAAAAATGTCCTATGAATAAGAATTAGGAGGTAAAACATGTTTAGCATTACTCACTGAGGTATATGTTTATCCATAAAGAAAATCCAAAAGAATTTACGTCTAAGTCATTAATTGTACAGCAATTGCTGACATGACTTCTTTTTTTATATTGAATTTTCCAGTCCATGAGCATGGCTTTTTTTTCCATTTATTCAGATCTTCTTGTGTGTCTTCCATTATTTTTAAAAATAATTTTCTATAAGTCTTGTAGACCTTTTGTGAGATTTAATTTTTGTGAGATTTAATTTTTCTAGTGACTATAAATGGTGTTTTAAAGAGTATATTGTACACTGCCGGTTTGTACAAGTGCAATTAATTTTTTTGGTTACTGTTGTGCTTATATTCAGTGCAGTTGTTTTCCCCAAACAAATCAATAAATTTAAATTCCAACCAAAATTCTAAAAGGGGTTTTGTTGGGTTGCCTGGGTGGCTCAGTGGGTTAAGCCTCTGCCTTCGGCTCAGGTCATGATCTCAGGGTCCTGGGATCGAGCCCCGCATCGGGCTCTCTGCTCAGCAGGGAGCCTGCTCCCCCCAACCCCCCGCCTGCCTCTTTGCCTGCTTGTGATCTCTGTCATTCAAATAAATAAAATCTTTAAAAAAATTTTTTTAAAAAAGGGGTTTTGTTGAACTTAATAAGCCAACTCTGTAACTTTGAAAATGCAATGGAACAAATATAGCTAAGATAATTCCAAAGGGGAAAAAGGGAGATTCACCCTACCAGATACCAAAACTTATTAAAAAGATAGTAACTTAAATAGTGATTTTGGCTCAGGGATAGACTAGGAGACCAATAAAACAGAGCACATGAACAGATATGCATATCAATAAAAACAGTACATGAAAGACAGAAGGATGTTATAAATCATGGGGAAAAGATATCCTGGATCAAAAATGCTTGCATATTAATTTTCCAAATGGAAAGTAATAAATTTTTTTCTTATTTTACACACAATCAAAAACAAATTACAGGTGGTATAAAGATGAAATGTGAGAAGTAAAACTCTAAAACTTTAAAAAGAAAATGTAAAATATCCTTCTGACTTTGGAGTATTCTAAACAAGATCCAAATGCACAAACCATAAAAGAAAAAGCTGACACAATCCACTTGATTAAAATTTAAAACTTCCAGTAATAACAGTGTAAGCAAAGTGAAAGGAGAAGCCATAGGTTGGGAGAAGGTATGTGTAACTCAAATAACCAAAAAGGAATATTGTTATCAGGAAGATCTTTTTTTAAAAGATTTTTCATTTATTTATTTGAGAGACAGAGAGAGAAGGAGAGGGGGAGTTGGGGTGCAGAGGGAGGTGGAGAAGCAGACGCCCCCCTGAGCAGGGAGCCCAATGCAGAGCTTGATCCTAGGACCCTGAAATCATGACCTGAGCCAAAAGCAGATGCTTAACCAACTCAGCCACCCAGATGCCCCAAGAAAATCATCTGAAAACAGCAAACCCCAATTCCTACAAGACAAAGGCAAATAACCAAGTTGAAGGCAGCCAGAAAGTGGTGTGGTTTTTTTAAGTTTTTTTATTTATTTATGTATTTATTTGTCAAAGAGAGAGAGAGCGCGTGAGCGAGCACACAAGCAGGCAGAGTGGCAGGCAGAGGCAGAGAGAGAAGCAGGCTCCCTGCCAAGCAAGGAGCCCGATGCGGGACTCAGTTCCAGGACCCTGGGATCATGACCTGAGTCGAAGGCAGCAGCTTAACCAACTGAGCCGCCCAGGCTTCCCCAGAAAGTGTTTAAATGGGCAATTCACAGAAGTAATCCAGAAGACTAAAAATGAAACATGAAAATATGTTAAAGCTAGCCAGGTTTTAGATAAATCTGAAATAAAACTGGGAAGTGCCATTTCACATGAAGCAGAAAGGCAGAAACTAAGTATAATGAAACGCCATTCTGAAATTACAATGAAGGTGGGGCGCCTAGGTGGCTCAGTCAATTGTTGAACTTCTGGTTTCAGCTCAGGCCATGATCTGCCGTTGTGGAATCAAGCCCCAGCTTGGCCCTCAATCTACTTCAGATTCTCTCCCCCTTCCCCTTTCCCTCTCCCATGCCACCCCACTCACACTCTCTCTAAAACCAATCAATAAAAAAAAGAGAGAAAGAAAGAAATTACAACGAACGAACTTATGCTCACTCACCTTGAAAAATAATGTCTATTGGAAACACCCAAACTATAAAAAGATGTATGGATAATACCATTTATGTTTTTTAAAAAAGGTCACAAAATAATGAAAAATGTGCACAGAGGAGCTTGGATTAGTGATTATAGCTAAGGAGGGGAGAAAGGGGTACAGGATGCAGAGGAGCCCACAACACATACAATTCTTTAGGTTGACTTGGTTTCATGGATGTTCATTGTTCACTGCACATTTTTATATGCTGAAATGTTTCACAGATACCTAATAAAAATAATAAGAAATATACCACAGAAGGGGAGAAGGAAAGCAAATTATCAACGAATGCCTAGAAGACTAGTCAGAGACAAAGTTTTTACATTTTATCGAGTTAATAAAAATGACCACTAAAATGCCATGAATGATCTTGAAGCAGAGTAGGACAATAATTATCCAACACTGTTTAAAATCAAACTCCATTATTTTCAGATGTTCTCATAAAAAATAGCACTTTCTTTAAGTGGGAGTCTAGGAAAATGGAACCAAATTGTATTTTTCACATTTTGCTGGAAAAAAATCTAAGACTGATAACTTCTGAAAGGTGATCAGTAACACTTTAAAAGTTTGCAAGAAATAAGGATATTTCACATTTTATAGTCACAGGACAGAAAGTACCATATGCTAATAAACCCCATCCTTTTCCATTAGTCACACTCTGGCCCATGGACTCCCTTTGACACCTCCCACAGGTTCTGAAATAAAACCACATGTACGGACGTATTGTACTCGATTGACGTGTCAGCTCTTCTGTTCCCTGACCTAGCCTGGGCCTCCTACTGTTGGGGAGGAAAGTCTTACTATAAAGCATTTACTGAAAAAGCTTAGACAAGATGTACTTAAAGGTATTTACTATTATGGAGTAGAGTGGAGCTGCAAGGATTACTTACCCCAACTTCTCACTCACACACACACACACACACACACACACACGCTCATACACACTTAACCCAGCCACAGCAGTGATTAAAAGAGACTAAATATTAGCTAAAATTAAAATATGAATATACCAAAGGATAGACATGTCCTTTTAGGGAAAGATCAGCTACTGAATTACAAAATGTGTTGTCAACTCAAAGAACACACATGAAATTTTAAAGTGATAGTACATTCATTTAAAAAATTTTAGATGCAAGGGCAGTATTATAAAATATCTTATCTAAACTGGATGTTTCCACTAGAGTCTAAAAATATTTCATTTTGGTTAATATATATCGACTACAGCAATGATTTATTTTATAGATAGGAAAGGCCAACAAAACAAAACAAAACAAATTCAGGTCAAGCATCAGATGCCTGTGCCATTTTCAAGAATTCTGTATCTTCAGCAGATACCCCCCCCCTTTTTTTTTTTGGTACATCAAAGATTTAAAATCACTGCCTTCTTAGCAGCCTTTGTATATTTCATTATTACCTGGGGGACTGTGCTCCGTGAGTCATGCGTAGGCCGAGCCAATGTGATTAACTCTTTCATTGTTATTTTCAACAATTCCATTTTGCCTTTCTTAGGTTCACATGCCAATAGTGCCTGTGGAAAAACAAGGCAAAAATTAACGGGGCTCTGATTTTACATATACCTATTTGCTACTTCCCAGAATCAATCCCAAAATGCAAAATCCCCCTATAAAAATTCGTGGTGTCGGGGTGCCTGGGTGGTTCAGTGGGTTAAGCCTCTGCCTTCGGCTCAGATCATGATCTCAGGGTCCTGGGATCAAGCCCCACATCAGGCTCTCTGCTCAGCGGGGAGCCTGCTTCCCCCTCTCTCTCTCTGCCTGCCTCTCTGCCTACTTGTAATCTCTGTCAAATAAATAAATAAAATCTTAAAAAAAAAATTCGTGGTGTCAACTAAGTTAATTAAACCATGTGGTCTTGGGAAAGTAGCTTAACCTCACCATCCCTGGGATTCTTCATCGGAAAAATTCGGTGATGGTGTCATTTCCAGGTTTGCTTGTTAACGATATAATTCTAAGAGGCTGAGAAAATGGCTCTTGTTGACAACTCCTTTAGGACCATAACTAGGTAGCAGGTCTCAGATACAATAAGCAAGCAGTTTTTATAACAAATTTACCAACAAGAAAATTCTCTTTACTTAAAAGACAAAAAAAGCCTGTGGATTAAATTTCTAGCAAGGATTTGGAAACTCCCTGGAGACTAGTCAGTTATTTAATTCTTTACTAAAGAGTCTCTACCTGGAGGAGTATCAAATTGTAGCACTGGAAACTCCATGCAGCAAAAGAAAATACTATAAACTCCAAAGGGGTCCTACGCTTGAATTTTCAAGAGCTGCTCATTTACTTTGTGTCTAACATTTTGCTAATGCACAATAAACATAAAAATAGGATATCAAACTACCTGAGGCAATAAAAAGGAATGAGGTACTGATATTTGCTACAACATGGATGGATTCTGAAACATGCTAAGTGAAAGAAGCCAGACAGGAAGGCCACACATTATATGATTCCATTTACATGAAATGTCCAGAATAGACAAATCTATAGAAACAGAAAATAGATCAGTGGTTGTGTAGGACTAGGAGTAGCAGGAATTATTTCATTTGTATGAGCTACTAGCTCTCAAGAGTGAAAGTTTCAAGCTACTCAGCTTCTTCAGAAATACTTATAATCCATAAAAGAGGAAGACCCAAAATAGGTAAGTTTAAAAGAAAAATTTATCATAGTATATCTATGCTCAGAAAACCCATATATATTATTCTTCTAACGACCACTCAAAAAAATTTCATATCTGTTTGCACAAAAGTTAAGTTCATAAACTAAGGAGGGCAGTTTTTCTCCATAGTCAACACTAAATAAAGTTTTCCATGAGAACATAACTTATTAGTAAATTATGCTATGAGAAATGGGACATCTTGGAGCAGATTTTCCTAATAATTTAGATTTTACTCAACTAACATAAATAAGAAAGTTATATGCAATTACTGAAATATCTCCTTGGAACCATGGCTTTTGTTCCATCAAGAGCTGTGGGCATAATTACGACACTCTCCCCAAGGATGGGCTAAGAAATCGCATCTCCTGATTGCTCTGTCACTATGACCACTATTCACTACTGGATGGGAACCACGGGTGGAACAAGCACACAGCACAAACAGGCAACTAGACCTTGCTGTGGTGTTAACGTTTGTCCTCAGACAGACGAATGAGGCAAAACCACACTAGGTCAGAATGAATTACAGGCAGGAGATGAACCCAACTGATGTGGAATGGGTCAGATCAGAGAGCAGTTCATTTCTGAAGGTCACCAAAATTCATCTAGCAGAACTTCCTCGAAGATCTCTGTATCAAAATCAACAGCCTCTGCAAGTGGGATCCACTGTCATCACACAATGATGACATTGGAAATTTGGGGAAGGAATAAGAAAGAGAAGGAAAAAATGCAGGTAGGGACACTAAACAAAATATTTCATTTCACTGATTTTCATTGCTTTTATAATACCACCTCTCTTTCTGGACTGACTTACTGAATATTAAACAAAAACATATATTTTATGGAAGGATTCAGAAGAAACTGCTACTGCTTGTTACTTACAGAGAGTCTTAAGGGTCTTGAAATAACAGCAAGACTATTTTTTCTAATTCAAAAAGAAAAAGGTAACACGTACACTTCCTAGAAGTGAGCAGTGAGGACTGCCTACTTCATACCCAGGCGGAAATCTATACCACCCTCTGTTCACATGACAAGACTGACCTCGTGGAGGGTTTGTTCCAAGAACAGATCTGTCACGGGAACACACCGTCCACACATACAACAAAGCCACAAGTGCTACAGTACTTAAGAGACAGAATTGTCCCTTATGCAATATGTTTACTCACATGTCAAGGGAATTGTCAAAAGACAAATAAAACAAATTATCAGAGGACAAACAGCTATGTCCTGTGGATAAGTACCTGTATGTAGAAAGGAATTCCGGCACTGCGCCTTGTAGCACAGAGTTTAGATGAAGGATCACTGCATTTAATTTCTTCTAAAACATTCCATAACCACTGTTCCGGTAGCTTTTGCAGACTCACATTGGGGCACCTGAAAGGCATATATAAAGCAAACATTTGGAATAACCAAGTACCAAAAAGTAAAAGTACAAACTACGGATACACATCAACGTTGTTAGAAAAGAATAAATATTCTTACATTTGGAAGGAGGGAAACTAAAAATTGTCTCCCTTTCTACTTTTCACTTATTTTCCTCTTTATTACGGGTCTTAAGGTTTGAAACTATTAAAGAGTCCGCTTCTTACAAAAGCCTATGAAACATGTGTCTTGTCTGTAAAGTAAGTTTTAATACCATGGCTTATGCCCACAGTCAAAATGTTCTGATCTTTTGACATTAATGAAATTCCTACAGATAATCTATCTGCAAAACTCAAGATTTCTAACAAAGGAAATAAACTTTAATATAACTTATGTTCTACCTTTATAAATATTATTTACATTCAAAGAAAACACATATTAAGGTGTATTTTTAAGGTATATTTTAGTAATCATTTTCGTGTCTTTCAAAATGTGGTCTACCACAAAATTTTCAACCAAATCCAATGGAGAATTGATGAAGCAAGTTGGCATAAACATTTTGAGGTTATTTGGACATTACCGTTAGTGAGATTCTGTTCTATTATACTGTTACTCTAGAGTGCTTAAGAAAATTTTATTTAAAAAGCTTCTTTTTAAGGTTTTATTTATTTATTTGAGAGAGTGAGAGAAAAAGAATGGGCACATGAGTAGGGGGAGGGGCAGAGGGAGAAGCAGACTCCCCACTAAGCAGGGAGCCCGACAGGGCTCAATCCCAGGGCCCGGAGACCAGGACCTGAGCTAGGACCTGAGTTAGACGCTTAACTGACTTGAGCCACCCAGGTGCCCCCCAAATTTTTTAACCTTATACTTTATCAGATTATATAACATTTTCTTAAGAAATCGTATATTCAGTGGTAGACAATTATTTTAGGAGGATCGTAACTGGATTTAACTAAAAACACATGAAAATAAAGGGATGAAGTCCAAAGAAAAAATATTTTTTTACACTGAGAAAGACATTCTGTAGAAAGATAACCTACTTCCTTTTTTCCCCCCAAAGATTTTATTTATTTATTTGAGAGAGAGAGAAATAGCAAGAGAGAGAGGTAGGAAGAGGCAGGTAGGAAGAGGAAGAAGCAGGACCCTGGGATCATGACCTGAACCAAAGGCGGATGCTTAACTTACTGAGCCACCCAGGTGCTCCAAGATAACTGATTTCTGATTTGCAGTGTGAACTGACCTCTTAGAATCACATGTGGGATTTTTTTTCTTTAGTCTGATATCAGATCGACAACTTCAGTTTCTAATTAACTATTTCAAACAGCAACTCAAATTTAGTTGTTTAGGTCTTGCATAAAACAAAATATGTGTAAATAATACTACTCTAAAGCAGAAGTTTTTAAGAAAGGTTTTTAAAAGTTTAACATGGGCCTAAAAATGTACTAGAGATTATAGGACACCAAGGATGTGTATTTATAGGATGTGTCAGGGGCATTATGAACATGGAAGCAATGTCCATATTGTTTAGAGACGCATACTGAAGTACACAGGTGGGAAAATAACAAATCAGAAATGTACTTTTTAACACTTCAGCAGGCCATAATGAAAGGTACAGATGAAGCAAGAGTGGCAAAACTCTGATAAGTGTTGAATATGGGTAATGGGTATAGGCAGTTCATTTCATTATGCTCTCCAGTTTTATAAACATATGCTTGAAATTTTTATGTGCTTTATATGTTTATAAATTATATGTTTAAAATTTACATTTGAAACTCCTCATAATAAAAATAATCCATGGGGCGCCTGGGTGGCTCAGTAGATTAAAGCCTCTGCCTTCGGCTCAGGTCATGATCCCAGGGTCCTGGGATCGAGCCCTGCATCAGGCTCTCTGCTCGGCAGGGAGCCTGCTTCCTCTTCTCTCTCTCTCTGCCTGCCTCTCTGCCTACTTGTGATCTCTATCTGTCAAATAAAAAAATAAATAAAAAAAAATGTTAAAGAATTGCAGAATACATTTAAAAAAAAATAATCCATTCGTGTAATGTTTGAAATTTTCATAATAAAAGTAACCCTCCCACACTTTTATAAGAACTGAAGTTACTTCCCATCACTGGATTTATATCTTTTAAAAATTAAGATAAGGGGTGCCTGGGTGGCTCAGTGGGTTAAAGCCTCTGCCTTCGGCTCAGGTCATGATCTCAGGGTCCTGGGATTGAGCCCCACATCGGGCTCGCTGCTCAGTGGGGAACCTGTTTCCCCTCCTCTCTCTCTGCCTGCCTCTCTTCCTGCTTGTGATCTCTGTCAAGTAAATAAATAAAATCTTAAAAAAAATTAAGATAAATGCCTTTAATTTCATGGCATCATTTTCTAGTTTATTATTAACAATGCCAGCTTGGTATAATCCTCCCACAGTTACCCAATCAAACACTTAAATCCAAACTTCCCAGAGATGTTAAGTGCTAATGATACAGTTACAGATTATGGTCTTCCTTTGCTCATTCTTCACATTTTTTTAAGTATGTTTGGATTAATTTACTCCACAGTGGGTGAGCAGGAAAAAGGAAAAAAAAAATCAAAGCAAAAGTCATCTTTTGTGGTCTAATCATCCAAAAAAACTGGAGTCACAGAGGTGAATACAGTAAAAACTACTTGATCTAAGATTACAGGTAGATTTCATTTAGTTCTCTTCCCCATCACAGTGCAATGTAGGACTTGCTTATAAAAAATGCTACAGTCTAAGGTCAAGTCTCCTGTAGGAATTCACTATAAAAAAAACTGAGGAAAAGAACTATAAGAGATAAGAGGTATTTTCCTATTTCCTTATTTTCCTTTCAAGTGCACTGAAATACGAGAATAATAAATACTAGCTCAGTAATGCTCCTCAACACCGTCTGTGAACCTCTCTTGAGCCTCCCTGACCTGGCATACAGAGGTTCTAGCAAAACCAACCAATCTGAAAATGGTAGGCAGGTCAGAGACAAGAGCAGGCCACCTCACCATGCATCATCCCTCCTTGCCTGAACTTAGAAGGGCTTGTGACTGTTAACAATCTTGATCTAATTCCTTTTCCATCTTAATCAAATATTCCAGCTTGATTCTAACCTTAAAAAATTTTCCATATGTCTATAGACTTTCTGTTATAGTGAGGTTGTGCACTTTGCTGATTCCCATTCTAACATACATGCCACACACACAGACACACATGCACATATACGTGCCCTCTCCATATTCCCAACTAAGCATTTGTTTATGATTTCCACACTTTTCCTAGTCATACAAATTAGTAAAACTTCCTCTAAATGTTACATCTCACAAGGCCGTTTCCTTTCTCAAAGTTTCTACTGTACGAGGAACTGCTAGGCACAAAGCATACAGGTGGTCAGTACGGTGCCACGGACAGGGTGGACTCTAGGCTGGGCTTGGACGATGTGCGGGCAGTATGGTGGAAGGCCCATATGTGTGGGCTTGAGGGAGCAAGAGATGAGATGACTGAGGAAATAGTTTAAGGCCCCAGGGGCAATTCCCTAATTTAGATTCTTGGCTATTATAATTATAAACAGTAAACCAGGCCTATTGATTCCCTTGAGTGGCACATACTAAGACTAAATGCTCCTTGTTAATTTGGGGAACTTGAAAATAAAGGTTAAAGAATATTCAACGAGGTAAAGGCTGGCAAAGTGCCCTCCCCAGAGCCCTCTCTGGCCCACTGCCAAGGATCCAGGAACCTCAGGAGCTCTGGGAAATGTTCAAGGCACCAGCTCCTCCCATCTAGTCCACACGGTCCTCTGCTATGGAATTCCCCAGGATCACACTGGTTTTTCTGCAGAACGTTTCAGTTGTCTGGTTTTCAATATGGACTTTGCACTGGACCTTATTTCTCTGATTCTCTAGCTTCCTAGCTCTGCATCCTCTCCCAGGCTAGTCCTGCCCCCATAGCCACACAAGAAAATTAGTCCAATAATAGAATTCCTACCCTTCTTAATAAAATGAAACATGCTACATTTTAAACAAAATAAACTTAGAAGTGTTGTTTAAATTATCACACTCAAAATATATTTGCCTACCACGAAGGAAAGAAAAATAAACATGTACTGAATGTCTATTATACATCAGATACAACACTAGACTTTTCACATCTTTTTTTTTTTTTTTAAGATTTTATTTATTTATTTGACAGAGAGAGATCACAAGTAGAAAGGCAGGCAGAGAGAGAGAGAGAGAGAGGGAAGCAGGCTCCCTGCTGAGCAGAGAGCCCGATGCGGGACTCGATCCCAGGACCCTGAGATCATGACCTGAGCCGAAGGCAGCGGCTTAACCCACTGAGCCACCCAGGCGCCCGACTTTTCACATCTTATCTTACTTTGCAACAAACAAGTCTATGAAAGGTGGGAGAGCGCATGATAGTGCTTAGGAGGAAAGACTACAGGGCTAATTTATTTAGTTTAGAATCCTTGCTGTCACCTATTAGTGGTGTGATCTAGGACAAGTTAAGAAACCTCCCCATTTGTCCCTTTCCTTGTCTACGAAATCAAAGTGTTGGGGAGGATTAAATGAGTTTGTCCTGATTAAGTGTATAATATGTTCTTAAACAGGTTGTTTTCTAAAATTATTATCTACTATTGGGGCACCTGGCTGGCTCAGTCAGCAGAGCATGTGACACTTGATCTTGGGGTTGTAAGTTCGAGTCCCACTTGGGATGTGAAGATTACTTTAAAAAAGTAAAATCTTAGGGGCGCCTGGGTGGCTCAGTGGGTTAAAGCCTCTGCCTTCGGCTCAGGTCATGGTCTCAGGGTCCTGGGATCGAGCCCTACATGGGGCTCTCTGCTCAGCAGGGAGCCTGCTTCTTCCCCCTCTCTCTGCCTGCCTCTCTGCCTACTTGTGATCTCTCTCTATCAAATAAATAAATAAAATATTTAAAAAAAAGTAAAATCTTAAAAAAATAAAAGTATTATCTATAATTATGAGAAAAGCAAGCTTTAAAGAGTTTCAATTGAACTGAGAAAAATGGAACAGGT